GGTGCTGAGGGCCAGGGTTTGGGGGTGGGATGGCAGGGGTAGGGGAACGGTTGGACTTGGTGATCTTAAAGGGCTTTTCCAACCTAAATGATTCCGTGATTCTCTGCAACCAACTGTTCCAGTATCCAGCAAGCTGAGATGACTGCTGGCTGCTAACTTAGCCAAAGCAGGAGACGATGCCCTGAACGAGCCTCAGCTGCACAAGAGCAGTAAAAACAGTTCTGGAGGGATTGATGAAATAACTGAATAGCCTCTGTCACATCAGTACTCCAGCTCTCTGCTCACACTGAACACATAGGTAGAGAGTTTCAGTATGGCAACACTGCAATATAGAAACAGGAAGAGATTTTTCTGCTTTTATGGCTCTTGTTGTCTTCATACCCCCAAAGCAGTTAATGTTCTCCTGGTTATCTTAGTTTCCTGCAATCATTTCCTACAGCTTCTCAGCCCGTTGCATTTTCCCTGACTCTCAACAGCTCTTTGGGACAGCTACCACAAACTCATGCTAAAAGCACTTTGCCTTGGCGATAACGTTACAGTGGGTGAAACCATAATTGCTCTGTACACTTTTTTAAATCCGCCTGCCTGCTGCACTCGGGGGTTTTATAGCACCCAGATTGAATTCACCATCATGTGAACGCATGTGAAGCTGGCACGTGAATCCAGAGGTTTTCCTCCAGCAGTCTCAGAGGACAATGAACTTTAGAACTTTTGATCTAAAATCTGACAGATCTGAAAAGCCTAAACGTAGTAAACCATTAATAACATAATTGCTTTTTGTAGCAGATATTTTATGCCATAGCAGGAGGTATGAGACAAAAAGAATTAGAGACGGGCGCTCCCAGTCTTGCTAACACTTAATCCCCCTCTACAGTGCTTATATTATCCTTGCAATGAGCCAAAAAGCCTTGAAGAATCTTAAATTAAAAAAAAAAAAAAGGGAAATCATGTATCTGATTAAGAAGGCCTACCTACTGCCAAGTGCTTTATGCCCACAAACACCTTACCACCTTCTCATTCAAAACCTCACGTGTTTGATGCTGAGCCGCCCATGAAGTTTCCTCTGGCAACTTAGGCTGCAACTAGGAAGCGCGATGACCCACTGCGAAGTAAGCCCACGAGCCCATCCTGAAGCATACCGGGGTGAGAAAGGTCTTCTCCACTGGTAGGGCTGGGTAAAGCGCTCCCCGTGTCACCACGGAAAGGGCTGCCGGGCGCTGCAAACTGTTGCCTTGTGGGTAAACCCCTGCCTCTCTGCGAAGCTGCAGCTGAGCTCAGCAAAGCTCAGAGGAGCTAAACGGGCCACATTCAACCCAAATTCATACCCTCAGCCAGGACACTGATGAGCCCTGAGCCCAAGAAACTTCAGATGTTCACAACTCCTGTTGAAAGCAGCAAGTCACGCAAGAGCTCTGCATCCATTTGGATAGGACCCACCCAGTATTAAGCCGACAGGTTTTTTAAATAGCAGTTTGGGGGGTTTAGGCTGGGACAGAAGAAATCAGGACTATATATTGCATCCTAAATTTGGCAGGCAGAGCGTGACGGCTCCAGAGCAGCCTGGCAAGGGGACGCAGCTCAACTAAAGCGTGCAAACACGTACGAGGCCCAGGATTTAAGCCCCATGTGTCCTTTACACCACGCCTCTGTTCATCCACAGGGGTAGTGCAATGGAAAAGACACTTTCCAAAGTGCCTTCAGCTAGAACTGCCCTTCTTGACCCAGCAACCTGTAAAAGATGCCCTCGAGGTGTCCCCTCTTGTTGGGCTCCCCTCTGATTTGGGCCCACAAGCCCAAAGGTCTGTCGCCTGCTCCACAGCAGGACTCCAGGTCTTTGAGCTGCACCTTTGCATAAAGCACAACCCCTGCACCATCTTTCCCACCCATCCTTTGTAAAGTGCCTGCTCCAGTACTGTTGCTTGCCCAGAGTGAAGAGCTACTACCTCTCTGAAGGGATTGACAGCATCAACTTCAGCAGCTCTCAGCCTACACAGCATATAAGCCCACGTCTATATTTGCTAGCAAAATTAACCGCCGAGCATTCCAGATCTTTGCAGGCTCTTTGCAATCCCAGCGGAGGTTAAGCACAAATCACCGGCTTCCCTGGGTAAGGATCCAAAGGTCATGGATTTGCCCAAAATTACATTCCTCTAACTGAATGGAAACCAGCTCCCCATTTAGTTCAGCCAAACTAACAAACACCACCCAAATTATTTCAGGCACAAACCAAAGAGACTGTCTGAACACCTGGGAATTGCATTAACATTTAAGCAGCAGGAGGCACTGGGAATTTAATTGGCATTGTGAGATTAGAAGAACTTTTCATAAGATGAAAATCAGTCAATCAATCTGAAGTGAAGGTGACGGTGTTAAAGGTATTTTTTGCTCAACAGGAATTAGAGGACAGAAGCAACCATTCTCATTTGGGCAGGTGTATTGCAACAGAAGGCTCTGCTGGGCTTGGCTAAACAAAAATCTCTCATGTCTCGAAGCATCTGCCACGTTGGCCAATCTTCAGTAAACGCAGGCATCTTCAAATCAGTGGCAGTCTGTCTGCTGATTTTAACCTGAACTGTTCACTCCTGCAGCTCGCCTTTAAAATCCAGTTCAAACCAGCATTTCAGGTTGTATTTCTTTTACTCCCTTATAAATCTCAGGTGTTTTCTTTGTTTTCTGCAACTGCTGAGCCTACAGATTTAAAAACCCCGCTCCCTTAAGTAAGCAGACACAAAAGTCCTGCAGCTCTTTAGGATTAACACCCATAATGGCAAGTTCTAACAGAGATCCAGCAAACTTTTAACTGGGAGTTCATGGGTTTCTGGATTGCAGAATCAAAAATCCACATTTGTAAAACAATCCAAAGTTGCTAAAGGTATAATAATAATAATAAATGCTGCAATGTTTTATAGAAAATGAACCTAGATCTTGCTTATTTAAATAAGTGGAAGTATCAGTCCAGTTAGACTTTTTGCTAACAAAAATTAAGGCAGCAGCTTCCTTCCTGAAGCCCAGGAAGCTGAAGATACACCTAGGCTTGACTTTAGTTATCCAGTGCCCAGATAGCATTGCAATGCAGACTCTACAAAAAGCTGATGTATTAGAAAGAGGAACTCCAAAAAATAGGTCAGATATAAAAAGAAACCAGCACATATTAGGGGATGGAGATTTTTTTTCTTACATCACTTCCAAAGATTCGTATGAGAGAGAGAGAGGTTTTTAAAATATCCTGATCTTAAAAATTTGAATTTCATGTGAAGTTTATGGTTCCTATCTCCACTTCCATCTGTTACAGTCCCTATAACAGGAGAAAACTCCTTCAGTTCACAAGAAATGTGCAGGAATTTGCAGTAACGGATTATTCCTAACAGCACATAGACCGTGCCTGACCCAAACGCTAGAACAGAATAAGTGACCATGCAGTAATATATGACAGGCCTGGCAGGAGATGGCCTGTTAGCCGTGCTTAAATCAAATTATTTGTTGTTTAAAACAACAAACACGCAAAAGACCTCCCCCTGCTCCCCACCAAAGGAATTGCTGATGCCAGCTTTAAATGGCCAGCTTGTAATCGGTACAAAAACGTATGTTTTTCAAGACTATTATGGACAAGTCAGACCGGGAAGTGGCAGAGCTAGTCCCAGTATTCAGGGATAATCAGCAGTTCTCATAATTTAAGGGGAAGAAAAAAAAAAAAAAGGCATAAAACAGAGTAAGCAAGATGGATTAAATGTGTCAGGATTAATCATTAGAAAAAAACAGATCTACAGCCAGCACCTTATGTACCCCAAAATGACCAGGACAGTTGTGCAGGGAACAAACACACAACATTTTCTAAAAGCTAAACCATCACTAAGCATCAGGTGCTTAACTGAAGTGATTCAGAGCAACATTCATACAGTAGGTTTATAAGAAGAGACAAAATACGGTACTTTTATCTCCTGGTAAAATAGATCGGTAAAACCGGTCCTTCCTTTTCTTCTCTTCTGGGTTGGGAGGCAAAGGTTTTGAGCCATGGTTTAAAGTCCCTGTATCTTTGCTTCCCGATCCAATCATGGTGCTGGTATTTCTCATCGGAGGAGCAGGCGGTTTGTCTTCTGTTTCAACGCCATTGTTAGACATCTTCAGCTGGGGAGGCTGTTACTAGGAATAGGAAAAAGAAAAGAAAGAAAAGGAAATAAGAATTTAGTTTTTGTAAACTAGAATCTCACACCGTCGAATAAAACACAAGAAGGCATTTGCAGACTAGCCTGTAACCTCATAGCAACACAGATCAAATGTCAGCCCAACAAATTTGACTCAAGCTCCAAATTTTTTCTGTTAACGAGACCATGTTCAAGCGTTTCTGTTATTGATCATCAAGAAAAGCCTGTTTCAGGATACAGCCAATTCTCAAGCAAACCATGGAGCAGAAGCGTAGGGTGGGGAGGCAGAGCGGTAAACACAAGGTAGCCAAGAGCTGGGATAGCCGAGAGGAGCCAACAAGTTGCCAAGCTCGTAAGACCTCTTGGATCCATCCTAGTTTCACTAAAACCCATGCCAAAATCATAGAATTGTTTAGGTTGGAAAAGACCCTTAAGTTCATCAAGACCAACGGCTAACCTAGCGCTGCCAAGTCCACCACTAAACCACAGAATCATAGAATCACTTTGGTTGGAAAAGACCTTTGAGATCATCGAGTCCAACCTTTAGCCTAACCCTGCCATCCCACCACTAAACCATGTCCCCAAGCACCTCATCTATCCTTCTTTTAAATACCTCCAGGGAGGAGGACTCGACCACCTCCCTGGGCAGCCCATTCCAGAGCCTGACAGCCCTTTCGGTGAAGAAGTTTTTCCTAATGTTTATATCAGTCTCCAGCACGGCGTGATGCAGACAGACTGAAGTTTGCACTCAAAAGAGTTTCAATGTGGCCGCTCAGGCTCCTTTGCTAAAAAGCTGCTGAACTGGTTCGGAGGCAGAGATGGCCGGGAAGCCGCAGAGCTGTACCCACGTCATCTCAAGACGCGGTGCCGCAGCCCTCGCTGGTCCCAAGCCGGCCCTGGCCTTTCCACACGCTTCAGGCGCAATTCAAACCGCCAGCACGTTGACTGCATTTTGTTCTGTTGGAAAGGTCAAACAAAACTAGATCCCCAACACGCACGTAAGTCCTTAAGTAAATAATCCCTGCTGTGCAGATTTAAAGACGGAAGCTTTGGAACTGGGTAATAGATTATTCTGCAACAACTAGCTTGTTCCACCCAAATGAGATCAGCGTTACTCCAGACACTGCCTGGCTGCAGTGAGATCCTTCTGGAAACTGGAATTCATCTGCATTACGTTCTCAGAAGAAAGTCGGGAGTTAACTGCAGAACAAAGACCATAGCAGGAACAGTTTCTGTTTGGGTGGGAAAAGCAGTTCAACAGCTTTACGAATTTCACAAGCAGTAAGGGAAGATATTTCACTCGGGGAGAATTACTGGGTGGCAGAACGTCAAAAGTGGTTTGCTGGGTTTAGGGCTCTACAGAGGGACCTGGCCAGGCTGGATCCATGGGCCAAAGCCAACTGTATGAGGTTCAACAAGGCCAAGGGCCGGGTCCTGCCCTGGGGTCACCACAACCCCAGGCAGTGCTCCAGGCATGGGGCAGAGGGGCTGGAAAGCTGCCCGGCGGAAAAGGACCTGGGGGTGCTGGTTGACAGCCGGCTGAATATG